CCGTTAGCAAACCTATCTATCTTAGAGAGTTCAGTAGGAACCAAGTAGGGAAATAGCTTCATCTTCTCGGTGAATCATCTACACTCATCTTCCCTTTCCTCATGTTCTGAAACTCATTGTTTAGGTCTATCAGATCTATTTCTGAGCAATATTGCATTTTCAACTGCTCCATGAATGCTTCTCAAGACATCCTCATGGCTTCTCCCCGTGGCATTGTATCTGCCAACACGTGTCTGAATTGTAGCCTTGAAAAGTGGAGTTTTGACTCCTCACGTCGTGAGAAATCATGCTCACGTCGTGAGACCAGTCAGATTAGGGTTTCTGACACGTGTCATGCTCTCAGACAGCTGTATCTTCGGAAGGTCATAACTTTTGCATACGAGCTCTGTTTTTGACGTTCTTTATATCCACATGTAGGTGGAGACGTACTCTACAACTTTCATTTAGACCACTAAGGCTAAAAAGTACTCTATCATAAACTCACTTTTTACGATTCCCGGTGTCGTGTCGGTTTTGTCGCGTAACTTCGACGGGTCATAACTTCTTCGTTATAACTCGGATTTCAGCGTTATTTATATGTACGGAAACCTTGTGCCATATACTACAACTTAGTTAAGATTATTTATTCTAAATAATCATCTATCAAAAAATCATTTTTGACACTTATCGTCTCAAAATTAACTAGCCCGAATCTGCGGGCGTTACACTTACACCCAACACAAAAATAAACGGGTTCGGGTTGAGATTTTTGACCCGCCAACCCGTTTATTTCATGGGTTGGGTTAGGTTACCTGTTTGTGTTCGCGGGTCAACCCGCCAACTCGACTATATATATTATAATTAAAAATTTATTTTTTATTTATGAATCAATAGAATGTAGTCAATATATGACGTCCTTAAGTCCTAAAACTCCTAACCCCAAAATTGTAGTGTGAATGAATTATTGAATCAGTTTTTGGATACTTTGCATGAATGTTTTTAATTTTATTTGGATGTTTATGACTTTATGACTTTATGTTGGAAACCTCTTTTTCTTCAAATGTGTTACTTATTAAGTTATTATGTTAGATTGGTATTTGATTTTTCATTACATTAGTTAATGTAAAATGCTAATTATTAATTAATTTAGAGACATGTATAATTCATATAAATTTAACATGTAACAAGTTAACCCAAAAATGAACTGTCGACTATTTGACCCGAAATCGACCCACTGATCCGCGAACCCATATACTTAAATGGGTTATATGGGTTGGGTTGGGTTGATGTTTCCAACCTACCAACTTGTGACATGCTAACCGCCAACCCATATATTATATGGAGTGGGTTGGGTCAATGTATTATGACCCACTAACCCATTATCCACCAACCAGAACCCGACCTAATTGCCAGGCCTAGCGGCGCACATCGTGAGATCCACCCGCGACTATTATTTTCTTTTAGTGACCATGGCGCGACCAAGGAGCAGGTTGCGACGTAGTTGTTGAAACGTCCCAAAAAATTACAATAATTTTTAACTTTAAAATTCCATTTATTTAATATACATTACAATTTTTTTTCATCATTTAACCAACACCGTTATCTTTAACCAGAAACAATCATAACAATAAAATTCAACTACGTCCCAAAAACCAACAGTCTAAAGCAACAAAGTAAAGTCTCAATCAAATCAACATCCATAATAAAACATCAAGTCGTGCCCATCTGTATAGTCATGCCTTGCATTTCCCTTTTGTGATACATGAAGTTCCCGAAACAGTTAATTATCAGGAAATGATAAGCACGAAGCTTAATGAATTCCAACACAACACCACACATTAGTAATATGTACTTTACATGCACCACACATGTATATCAAGATGCCATCAACTTTTAATATAAGCATACAAATCAGATAAACAAATAGTACAAAACACTTTCTATCTAAATTCTAACATAAAGGGCACATCACAACTCAGTCATATACCAACTGACACTTACCAGCTCGCCATAACACATTCAGACTAAGCACTCACTAGAACATGTACAATCCACACAAAACATGTCAATAACATACACATACTAGACACTACATAACCTAGTACCATTCCTAAACAATCAAGTATCATACACAATCTAATGCAACAACATATACATCAATGTAATGCAGTGAGAAGCTCACCTTGAACTGAATGTATACCACAAAAAAAGCAAACACCAAAGCTCCAATGAACTCAAAGGCACTTCCTCCCCCTATAGAAGTGTATAGAGCATTAATAAGTGTGACATCCCCAAATCCACGGTCAGAAAAGACCGGTTTAATTTATGCTTTTAAAATAATTTCAGAGTAATCCTTTGATTAAAAGAGTTGCGGAATTTGTTCCCAAACAAAAACATGATAAAATAAGAGTTACCAAAGCATTTCTTAAAGAAATGTATTTTCATTATATAACAAAACTCGGGATGTCATGTTCCGATACAGACCAAAAGCATAAACGGCACATTATAAGCCTTACAACAGTTATATTCACTACAGGCCTATAATCAAAATATCTTGATAAGTCGTTCAACTTATGCTCTCGCGCCACTACCTGTAATACAAAGAAAACTGAGTGGGTCAGGCTTGGGAGCCTGGTGAGCATATAGGGTTTTCAACCCACAATAAATAAATTTATTAATTTTATCAAACAACAATAACCCGATTACCCATTCCCGTTATCCTCACTTTACGTCCCTAAAACAACTATCACAAGGGACCTAGTCTAAGGATTTTCATCGGGGTGACAACACTGCTTTGGGGGTTTCCCAGCAATTTATGTTAAATAAGGCAACCATGTGGGGGATGGAGTACATCAAATGAACACCCAAGCTCATTAAGACCTACAGGTTGCGAGCCTGCCAGCGTTCCACAGGACTATCTAGAAAAGTCTGTGGTCGTCATCCATACTCCGCTAGATGACTAGATCTCAATAACATCGAGGCCTCTCATCATTTTATTTCATCACACATCAACTATCTACCCATGTTATACCCAACATATTTGTAGATAAAAATACATATACAGTTAAAATAATTTAAAACATGTATAAAATTCTTCATCCAGCATAGATAGCAAGTATACAGATAATATGCACATATAACACGTAATTTATATAAAATATTTCATATCTATGTGTAAGATGAAAGTAACTATGTACTCACATGATAAGACGATGATCGGACAGCACTTCGTCTTTTAAAATAATATTCTTTTTCGATGAAATCAGGATGTTTTCTCAAAAACTGGGCTTCACGCAAGCAGAGTTTCTGCTCGAAAACTCTTTTTATCGGGATCTTCGGGGCGTCGGGAACTTGCTTCGGGTGCTAGGATGATACACTAAGCTTCGAGGTAATTTTTGCAAAGTAGAAGAAAGTAGAGGGTGAAAGAATGGAAAATTAGCAAATCAATGCTATTTATAGGAAAACTTGAACTACAAAATGAATGCCACCCATAGTTAGATTCGTTGATGACACCTCATTTACTTGTACCGTCACTTCTAATTCATCTCCACGTATTTGTTGCTTATTCTCCAATTTATTATCAAAGGCTTTATCCACATGATGCTTGCATTATCTTATTATATATATTAATTTAAATCATAACTTTTATATAAGTTCCTTTAAATTATGACCAACATAGAAAATGGTCTTTTATATATATAATCTAACGACATATAATTATTTATCATGTGTCCTTTATTTATTTATTTTTATTGGTCAATATATATGTAACAAAATATTATTACTACCATATTTTGTTTACTAGTCAAAATAATATAAGTCTGTAACATAAAAATATCAAAATGCACTCTAATATTCGGAAATAAATATATAAGATGTTATTTTATGATTCTTCTAAATTTAATAATCCATAACTCACATCGTAAAATATACTTAGGCAAATATCTCGAATATTTATTATATCGACGAATTGGTATTTGTGAGGACGTCGACTTTTATTTATATTATTTTAGCTAACAACCAACGATTTTCATTTAGATCGCTAAGGCTAAAAAACACTTTATCGTAAATTCACTTTTTACGTGACACAGCGTCGTGCCGGTTCTGTCGCGAAACTTCAACAGGTCATAACTTTCTCGTTATAACTCGGATTTCGGTATTCTGTATATAACCGGAATCCTTGTCACGACCACTACAACTTCCTTCATAGATATCGGGTTTATCTAATATTTTATTTTAATGCTTATTTTTATCTTTAATTTATCAAATCACAATAATTAAGCATAAAACATATAATACTCAAATAATACATTTTTTATTATTTCAAAACGAGTTACAACGGTTAACCTAGACTATTACATCAACATTAATGCCTAGCCTAGAAACACGGACGTTACAATAAGCAACCTTCATCCCATAATTAAACTAGCTAGTCCCTTGGTTCATTTTCAGCTTTTAACAACAAAACTACAGTCTGCTCAAGACCTGGTTTATCCCCCTTAAACTCATTCAATCCAGATTATTATTCCATATTCAAAAAAGTTAAGCTCAATACCTTTTCAAGGATATATTATACTAAGACTAATTATTTTTCTATGATTTAATATGAATTTTACAATACAGTATATTAGAACAACTAAATATTGAACTGGTCAGTGAAAATAACACTTTTCATCTTAGTTAGAGCTAACAACATGTCAAAGAAAAAATCATGGGTCATTAGAAACAAAAAATACATTTAGAATGTAAAACTTATGGTTTTTTATGGTAATAACCTTTTTTAACACCGAACTTCTTTTTGTTACGATTCATTTATATAAGTTGCAAAACTCAAGTTTTCTACATGAGATTCAAATATATAAAGTTGCAAAACTCAAGTTTTCTACTAATTAGTAGTTTGAAAGTTTTATACCTTGTATAATTTTTTTTTAGTTTGATAACATGATTAAAATATTTTACAAATTTATGTAAGTTTCTTCTTATATTCCAAAAAACAAAGATGGAAATTAAAACACTACCAAATTGTTGGGCTACAAAGTGGTGGGGTATATCGAAATATATAACCTAGAAATAAAGCTTCTCATATTTCCAGTGATAAATCGTGGTAGTGTTCAAAGCAACTGTAAATCAATGGCGACATCCCTGAGCACACCAAAGCTCAGCACGACTCTGTCTTCTTCAACCCTTCAAACCCTCCTATATAGACACAAATTCTCAACCCTGAATCGTTCTCCTTTCATTATTTGTCCGCAATCATCATCATCGTCCTGCTATTCATCTAGTTTCAATCTCTCGAAAAAGGCCCTAAGTTTTCTCTCTGACCATCGGGGGAATGCCATACTCAAGTCTCGTCGATTCGCCACCAGAGCGGAGTCGACTAACGGCGCCGAGCCACGTCACTATGACTTCGACTTGTTTACTATAGGCGCCGGGAGTGGTGGCGTTAGGGCTTCTCGTTTTGCTGCGAATTTTGGTGCTTCAGTTGCTGTTTGCGAGCTTCCGTTTGCTACCATATCTTCCGATACCACTGGAGGGGTAGGCGGAACGTAAGTTCCTACTTTTGTGTATTTTTTTACAATTGAGATTTAGGAGCAGTTGGTTTAATTAAAATTAATAGCTACTCGTTTCTCATCTTGTTTTATAATTTGCATACGCAAATTTTGTTTATTTGAGACTGACTTTTTCGAGATGCAATTGCACGATAACTTGGGAATATATCGGTTTAATTTTATTTGTTAGGCTATTTACTGCTCCCTACCCAATTTTGATTTCCCTTCATAGACTTGTTATTTTCAAGCTCCTGCATTGTCATTAGCACTATATTCTTGTCTTTTGTAAGTCCAGGTTATATAATTCTTTGACTGCTTGATGACCTTTGTATGTAAACTTCGATTACATACATATAATAATTCAATATGTTATGCAAATATGAAGTGCAAGATAAGCAGAATAACAGTAATTATTAAGGATAATTGATAAATCATTAAAAATGATGGTGTTGTAACAAGTTGAATTTCATGATGAGCCTAGAAATGTGTAGGTGGAGTTGGTTACAACTGGAAATTGATCAAGAACAAAAAAGTAGAAACTTTAGCTTGTTTGCTCTTTGTCCAATTGGTTGGGGTATTTTCTGAAGTATAACCATATTTATTATCTATGAAATTGATACTTTATTTTGTTGATGGTGTTATAAACTGTTCTGTTTCAAGAAAAGGAATGTTACACTGATAATATCTGATCTTTGCAATAAAGGTGTGTGCTTCGTGGATGTGTACCAAAGAAATTGCTTGTGTATGCATCTAAATATTCACATGAATTTGAGGAGAGCCTTGGTTTTGGATGGTCATATGGCTCTGAACCTACACATGATTGGAGCACCTTAATGGCTAATAAGAATGCTGAATTGCAGCGTCTTACTGGTATCTACAAGAACATTCTAAACAACGCGGGTGTCAAACTGATTGAAGGACGTGGAAAGGTTATTATTGTCATTTTGCAACACTTTCTGTTTTCTGTTTTTGCAATTACAAGTTGAAAAAAAATGTGTAAGTTGGACTTATGACTTTGCAAGCAGATTGTGGATCCACACACGGTGGATGTTGATGGGAAACTCTACACTGCAAGAAACATTTTAGTTTCAGTTGGAGGTCGCCCATTCATTCCAGATATTCCTGGAAGAGAATATGTGATAGATTCAGATGCTGCTCTTGATTTGCCTTCAAAGCCTACAAAAATTGCAATTGTTGGTGGTGGTTACATTGCCCTTGAGTTTGCTGGCATCTTCAATGGATTACAAAGTGAGGTGCATGTGTTTATTCGTCAAAAGCAGGTTTTACGTGGGTTTGATGAGGAGGTGAGGAATTGAAAACAAGACTTTTACGGGGGACTTATTCTGTTAAGATGCTAACCTTTTTGAGTTGAACAGATCAGAGACTTTCTTGCAGAGCAGATGTCGTTAAAGGGAATTGAGTTCCACACAGAAGAATCGCCACAGGCTGTGATGAAAGCTGCAGATGAAACATTTTCTTTGAAGACAAATAAAGGAACAACTGAGGGCTTCTCACATGTGATGTTTGCCACAGGGCGCAAACCTAACACAAGGGTATTTTTTCTTTCATAATCGTTTTTGTTACTAGTCTCTATTTTATTTGAGGACCTTGGAAACTACACCAAATGGGTTGAAATTAGTAATTCACGCATATTAAATCAAATCTAAACCGTAATTTCGTTGAACTTTTGGTCACTCGGTCGTCTAACTGCCGTTAAATATATGAAAATGACCATTTTGCCCTTGTTCTATGTGTTTGCTTATTTCTTTCTGTCTCCCGAATCCACATCTTCAAGAAGGCTAAATTTTAAATGAAGTTCAGTAAAACTCTAAATTTAAATCGGATCCAACCGATCAAAATCACTATACAAACAAATGAATTTAAAGTAATTTCCATTTTCCCAAGATAAATGGAGTGAAGTTTCCATGCCAATTTATCTTGTCTTTGAGTAGCAGAATGATATTATCCATGATTCGTATGAGAGAAGTTGAGGAAAAATATGAACATGAAGGTTACCATCTTTCATCAGCATTTAGGTCATATGAATATGTTGACTTTCTAGGTTGTAAAGTAACTAAATTTGGTTTTCATATAACGTTAAACTGTGTGAAATTGCAGGGAATGTTGATGTTGTAGTTTAACCATCATACGCAATGCACTTCATTTTTAGCCTGCAATAGCAATAGTGACCAATTTGCATTCTATTTTATTTGACCTAGAAAATCTGATGGTGTTGCATATATAATGTAAAAAAGTAAAACAAATAATAAAAAGTGTATTAAATGTTCAGTCATAGTCCATGTATTGACAAGTCAACAAATCAGTCCAACACAAGGTATTGCGTTGTGTTTAAGATTGAAATATATATGTTTGGATTGATTTGATTGGCAGAATTTGGGATTGGAGTCGGTGGGTGTGAAACTGGACAAGAATGGAGCAATAGAGGTAAGTAAGTTATGTTGCAGTCTGTTTGTGTTTGTGTTTGTGGATCATCATAAAATAAAAATAATAATAATATATATATGATGATGATGATGATGAAATTTTGGAGTCAGGTGGATGAATACTCTCGCACATCAGTTCCATCGATTTGGGCAGTTGGAGACGTTACGGATAGAATGAATCTGACTCCGGTTGCTTTAATGGAAGGAGGGGCGTTAGCCAAAACCCTTTTTGCAGATGAGCCTACAAAACCTGATTTTAGGGCTGTTCCATCTGCAGTCTTCTCCCAGCCACCAATCGGCCAAGTTGGTCTTAGTGAGCTACAGGTACCTACCTCAAACTCCTCAACCACACCAACATATAACATATATGTACTATATCATTATCTAACAAACCAACCAAACAAACAAACAAACGATTGATGTGAGATGCAATGCAGGCAATAGAAGCATATGGTGATATCGATGTGTATACAGCAAATTTCAGGCCCTTAAAAGCTACTCTATCCGGCCTCCCCGATAGAGTCTTTATGAAACTTATAGTCTCTGCCAACACCGACCAAGTCATCGGCTTACACATGTGCGGTGAAGATTCAGCAGAAGTTGTTCAGGTTGGTTCTCTTTGCTTCCTTTTATTTATATCATCCATCATCCATCATCTGTTCAGCTTCTTTTTGACTTTCTCTATTAAGTCAACTAACTTATATATATATATATATATATATATATATATATATATATATATGTTACAATGCAGGGATTTGCTGTTGCTATCAAAGCTGGGTTGACCAAGGCACAGTTTGATGCGACAGTGGGTGTTCACCCCACATCCGCAGAAGAATTCGTCACCATGAGGACACCTACTAGGAAAATTCGCACCCCTCCACCTGCAGTATAACTCTCCTCTCTGTTATCAAAATTTCTTTCACCAAATAATTGTATAATCATTTTGTTCCAATCCTTTCAGGGTAAGACGGATTCCGAGTCTAAAGCTGCAGCAGGAGTTTAGTCAACTCATTGCATCATCAACTTCTATCCTACAAGCAAGCAAGCAAGCAAGCGAGAGCCTACTTATAAGCGAGAGCTAAGATGATGATGATGTTTTTTTTTTTTAAATTTTGTTGGTGACATGAAGAAAGAATTCATCACGAAAGGATAGTCCTACTCCCAGATATGTTGATCAAAGAAGCGTTCATCATTCCCAATGCTTTTACTACTGTTAGCATCTCCATGTTTGACTCAAATGGTACATATATCCATGTTTGTATGTATTTATCACAATTCTTGCTTCACTTGTCTTCTTTGTATCTGATTGCCGCCAAATAAAGTATGTAACTTTTGCTGGGGAACCCATTTTTGTTCAATAACTTGGATATTAAAATTTTCCTCGAGTAATAGTTTCATCTTCTAATGTGTTGGAAATATTAACAAGAATAGAGAAACTAGACAAGTATGCTGAATGATCGATGCATTTATCAAGAACAGAAGAAGAAGATGAAAGCTAAACATAAATAGCCAAAATCTAGGAATAAAAAAATCTGTTAGACTGAGAGAGATACTCTTATTGACTATCCTAACTTTGAGGAAATGCTTTGAATCATTCAACATTTCCTCTTGATTCATAAATTTCTGATTTGTGTGTAAGAGAATAAACCCAACTCATTGATGAAGAGTAGAAAATACTTCCTATCCGCAAGTGAGTCTATGGACCAACTGCAACTCTCATTGTTGACATTCTGAACCGTTGTTACCTGTTCATTGCAATTGTTCCTTTTGCTTCAGTTTTCACTTGCTTATTGTCTCGTAATCTCTCCCAAGATTTATGAGTTTCATCCATGTCTTTGAACTTGCTTTTGTCATTGAGTACATGGTTTGAGCAAGCACTATCTACAAACCACACTTCATTTGAGTTGGTTTGAAGATTTACATAGCTCATGAACATGAACAGGCATTCATCTTCCTCTTCTACATAGTGTGCTTGTTTCTCCTTATACCAACATCACTTTCTTTATGACCATACTTTTGGCAGTTGGTGCATTGAAATGAAAGAGGAGAGCTTTCAAAGCCTCAACCTCCCTAAGACTATCCCCATTGGTGCGCACCTCACCATACCTCACCCCAAAAAGTTAAAAAAATAAATAAATAAGAAAAGAAATGGTGTGAGAAGATTGCCCACACAGCCTAGCTCACCGTAGTTAACCATCTCTCTCTCTCTCTCTCTCATTTATTTTATAAAAATATAGATGTGGTATTAATTTTAAAATTAAATAAAATATATTAAAATACATAAAAAATAATTCTCTACAAAATGCGACTAATGTGATATGTTTTTTGAATATTTTTTAAAAATAAAATAATAGATTGGGTTGGGTTGTTAATGTGGATAAAAGTTTATGGTTAGTTAGGTTGTGTATATGGAAGATTGAAGAAATAGTTTTTTAATAGATATTTGGGTTAGGTTGGGTTGTGAATAAGACACAAATGCAAGGAATTAGGCTAGACAACTTTTGTTTAAAAATGCAACATAGTAATTACTCATGTAATTTTTTTTAAGACAAAACTTCAAAAATGGTCCCTGTGGTTTTTAAAAATATCAAGTTTAGTCCCTAAGTTCAAAAAACCTCACAGATGGTCCCTGTGGTTTCAAAACTTTTAACAAATGGTCCTTTTCGCTAACTCCGTTAGCTTTTGGCCGTTAAGTGAAGGGTATTTCCGTCATTTCACAAAAGAGGGACCATTTATGAAGTTTTTTGTTATTTAAAAAATTATAATTATTTAATAAAGGGTCCCACCCTCTCTCTCTCTCTCTCTCTCTCTCTCTCTCTCTCTTCCCTTGAAGCCACAACTCAGGAAAGATGGAAAAACGGGATGTCGGCCTCTCCATCTCCGATTCTCGACTGTTCCAGCCCCATCTCCATCCTTGCTTCGTTAATTCAACACCCACCACCTGCTTGTTGTATTTTCAAGTACCATCGACACCCAAAACAGCCTCCTAATAAGGCTTAAACTGCTGAGAAACTGTCACGAGAAAAGCATCGGCAGCTCTCCCTTAGACGACCAAAAGCAGCCTCGAACACCCCCTCATTCCCTTGACCGACAGATGCTGCTACTGTCTCCCTTCTGTCGGGTTACGGCCGGCGATGAGGCAAAATGAAAGAAGGAAACCGCCGGAGCAGACCTGCACAACCGACGCCCCCTCCCCCTTTCTCACGATCGCCAGCCACATGACCACCATTTTAACTGCCTTCGATCGCCTGATGCCTTCTCGATCTAATGAAGACGAAGATGAGGACCGAGGTCCCTTTCTCAGTCCCACCTTGTGATCTGCTTGAGCCTCACTAGTACCCTCGATTTTTGATTGCTTCCATTCGTGTTCTTCCCCAATCAGACGAAGAAGACGCACCATCTCCCTTTTGCATTTGAGTTCATCGACGAAGTGAAGATCCAGTTTAAGATAGACCTGGCAATTCGTGTGTTCGTGTCATGAAAACGTGTCAGCCACGAATTTGACACGATACGATTACACGATGAGAAATAAGTTATCTCAATTTTTAAGATGTATCCGTGTCGTGTATTCGTGTCGTGTCGTGTCTCTCACAGATTCGTGTCTTCGTGTCTGAAATTGTCAGGTCTAGTTTAAGATGGGTTCTTTTGAGAGAGAGAGAGAGAGAGAGAGAGAGAGAGAGAGACCCTTTATTAAATAATTATATTTTTTTAAATAACAAAAAACTTCATAAATGGTCCCTCTTTTGTGAAATGACGGAAATATCCTTCACTTAACGGCCAAAAGCTAACGGAGTTAGCGAAAACGACCATTTGTTAAAAGTTTTGAAACCACAGGGACCATCTGTGAGGTTTTTTGAACTTAGGGAGTAAACTTGATATTTTTGAAAACTACAGGGACCATTTTTGAAGTTTTGTCTTTTTTTAATAAAATAGAAGGGAAAATTATTTATTGATCAACTACATAACCTAATTTGCCATACAAATTTGTGTGGTATGAAGCCAAATTGGCACACGAGCTCATGACGTTGAAATGCCCCCACCCCCTTACGCAACATCGTCCCCTCCAAGAAGTGAGAACTCAGCACCCATCGAAACTACCTCCCACCAAAGCTCCCCCACCAATCATTCAATAGAATACAGATCCGATCGCAAGACGGATACCACCAAGAAGTGAGAGTAGATGCCACCAATCATTCCACCCGGCCAAACACCTCTGGCCCTTATCGCTCATCAGAAGACGGATGCCACCATTCCACCCTGCCAAACAGCCCGCCAAACACCTCCGGCCCTGATTACTCAACAGAAGATGTATTCCAGATGATGCTGGAAAATGAACCCCCGAATCAGCCGGGACATGAAGGTAGATGATGCCGGAAAATGACCCCCCGAATCACAGGAGACAAGATAGACATGTTAATGTAAATAACATTGTTCTTGGAAAACGCAAAGCTAAAATGTGCTCGACAAAAATTATGCGTAGGAAGGGGTGATTAGTACCTTGGGCGAGTTACAACAACAGGTGCAGCTCATGGCAGGTCTAATATCATACAAACAATGGGAGTGGTATATGATTTAGAGTTTTTCTAAAAATAAATTATAATCTCTTTCTTTTATTACATATAATAACGTTTCTTGAATGGTGATGTGGAATTAATTTAGGACTGTTTGGGAAATAAAGTAAAGGACATTGGTGGACATGGTTGTTGATCGTGGATGATACACTGACCAAAGTCAAAGCTTGAACATACATATGGCTCAACCAAACTTTGGCAAGCTTACTTTCCTTCATTTTCATGCATAGTCAAAGATTTTCCTTTTTTTTACTTATACTTTTTTTTATTATTCAAAGTATAATATAATATGTGTTGACATTGATGTTTGACTTTGACTTTTGACACAGGGGCTGAAAACAGGAATGTATTATCTAGGTCACATGCTGCAACTGATGCGATTAAGTTCATCTTTTTACAAGTTGTTCTCTAACTCATAAGCTTTTTACAAGTTAATTAGATATGAACTACTATATAGACTATAGTTCATATTTATGTCATTGTTTGTTTTTGTAGGGGTTCTGTGTTTTGTCCCCTTCTATACTAGTAAGGTTATGTTAAAAGGGGTTCTAGGTTTTGTCCCCTTCTATTCTTGTAGGGGTTCTGGTTTTTCTCTCCTTTTGAACTAGTAAGGGTTTTCTACTACTAAATCGATTGTTGGTGTTGTTTATGTTGATTGTAGATTTAATCTCGAATTTGTGTGGATGGTGAGTGATTGTTAATTTGTGATCTTATAGATCTCTTCTAATTTTGTTCTTTTTGATGTAATGGTTTAAGCACTTAATTTGGACAACTATAAATGTGTGTTTCATTTTGTTTTTATATTGACTAAATGATTTAATGGGATTACCCAAAAAGACACTAACCCGTTACCTATTTGTCTCTTTTTTCATCCCAACTCCTCTTACTTCAAATATTTGATGAATATTGCAAAATTTGTTTTTGGGATGTAAGGGTAATATGCTCATATAGACTCTTTTAGAAGGCTTATTTGATTTAGACCTAATGTACACAACAAGACCTAATGGGGAAAAGATAAATAGCTTCCACAATGTAGACTTGACTTAATAATATAGTTTAGCTACGAATTAAAATGGTGATACATGTGTTGACTATGACTGATTTTTCCTGATAATTCGAAAGCTATTAAAACCAATAGTTATGCTGAATACCATTGAGAACTAGCCAAATCCTCTAAGTATGTTGTTTGAGGCATGTTAGAAAATGGGCAAGTCTGTTGACATTAAGCACTAGAGAAAAGGTTAGAACATGCATCATTGCATTTGAGTAAAAAATGTTGTAATAATTTATTTGTATTGCCATCAGCGTTTTGGAGGTGACAAGTCATAGGCCTTTGTCCTTTAGAGGTGACAACTCTAGTAGGGCTTCTGTTTTTTTTGTCCCATTTTAAGGTTTATATATATATATATAATATATATATATATATATATATATATATATATATATATAGATCTGATGTATATATGATGTATATATGAGCTTGAGAACCTATTTTGTCCCCTTCTATGACGAGGGTAGGGAGAGACGAGGGTATACTATAACCTCATCTCTCCTTACCACCTTCACATGTGGTGGACTTAGTAAAATTTCAAAATCACGGTGGTAGGGAGAGACGAGGGATACTAGAATGGGTTCTAGATTTGTCCCCTTCTATTCTAGAAGTGGACATACCAGAGAACCCCTACTAGTATAAAAGGAAAAAAAAAACAGAATGCCTACTAGAATAGAAAGGGACAACTCATAGAACCCCTTCTAATACCGAACCCCTACTAGA